TTTGTTTGCCATCTAGAGGAAGTTCTTTGGCATAACAACTTACAGACTTCCACTTGTGATAACGAAAATAAATACATAAATAAATTAATCATAAATAATAAACTGACTTAATGCATAGAACCTGTAAAAAAATAATAAGGTCAGTTTAGGAGCTAAAAAGACACCTGATGAGGTAAAAAAGACAAATTACTTTCAGTAGAGGACAGTTAGAGCAGCAGATGATTTTTTTAAATCGATGACATTTTACAAATAATTATCAAAAGGTAAATAACAACTTGAAATAAGCAGCTAAAATATAATTATTTACTCAAAAAGTTATTTTCCAAAAATCATGTAAATGCATTTTCAGATTAAAACAAAGAAAAAATGTGGGTTTAGCAACAAATCTGCTCAATGGAAGATTTCTCAAATGTGTACTTGGAGCAAAAATAACATTTATCCCTATGTACAAGTTTAAGATTTTTGATCCTTAGAAGAAAACAGCTTCCCATTCACTATGTTCCACTCATGCTTCTGAGGATGGGCTGTTGGGACAGTGACTGTGAGCAAGGAGGTAAGCTGTGCGATGAGGGTGGTCATGCCTTCTGCCTACCTGAGTGACTTCATGGAGCAGAGACACCAACACCGCCAAGGCCACCCGCCTGTCTCTGCACTGCCATGGCACAGACACAGAAACCTTGACACATTTGGTCAACTGCAACTAGAGGCTTCTTTTTACCAGCCAATTCTGATTCTCCTCGTATCTTCTCTCAGGTTTAGGGGATCGTTTACCTGTCACCGTTTTGTTTTGAGATTGCAGTCCTTTGTTACATCAGCATTATATAACTTGTTTGTTTGATTGTTTGTTAATATATCTAACTACCTTGAATGGGTTGGGACTAATCTTGTGTCTCACAGCAAAGCAGAAACTCAAGGCCGCTAGATGCTGTCAATCACATGAGGGCTAAAGATGATGATAGCATTGCTTAGCTCTGGATCATACTACTTACAGTTTGTGTGTGTGTGTTTTATTTTCTTTAAGACAGAGTCTCTCTCTGTTGCCCTGGCTGGTGTGAAGTGTCATGATCTCAGCTCACTACAACCTCTGCCTCACGGGTTCAAGCGATTCTCCTGCCTCAGCCTCCCTAGTAGCTGGAATTACAAGCGCATGCCACCATGCCTGCCTAATTTTTGTATTTTTAGGAGAGACAAAGTTTCACCATGTTGGCCAGACTTCTCTTGAACTCCTGCCCTCAGGGGATTCCCCTGCCTGAGACTCCCAAAGTGCTGGGATTACCGCGTGAGCCACTGTGCCCCATCACATTTTGTGTTCTTTAACTGCATTCTATGTAATGCCTTTTAAGCTCAATGATGCAATTATCTATCAGTATTTAAAAACACATTGTGTCACTTTTTTTCATTTTAGGGCTCCAGTGTGATTGATATCTATAAAAACATTGCCATACAATTTTTAGACCTAACAGAAATGGAACTTTGGAATTCTAATTGCACGTACCATGGAATCCATTATCTTGGAATAAACAATCATCCAAGTGTACTTTATACCCTTAGCCTGAAGCGGATATTCTTCTGTTGATTCTGTCATTATTTTGTGTCTATCACATTGGGTTATGACATGTAGCTCACATGACTCATTATGGGGTTCAATATCATTTAGAACACTATATTTAATAAAATCTATAAAAAGCATAGATGCTCCATGCATTGACAATCGAAACACAGAATTCAGATTCATTTTCAGGTAATGATGTAATCATGTGAAAATAATGCATTTCTGTATTCTTTCAAACCTTTTCTTATGAAAACATAGTAATAAATTTCTACTCTAAAATAGAACTTAGCCTAAATACTTTCAAAACTTTTAGAATTTGGAAGAGAAATAAAAATCTCACATAATTCTGAATGTTTCCTTTGTACTTGAAATAAACTTTATATTTTTTATCTTTGAGTTTATGCAGTTATTTTTAAACGCCACTTTTGGAATTGTGAAAGCTTGCTTTTCACTTGCTGAATGATAATTAACAGTAATCAATTTTTCACGTTAGGATCTCATACCTACCATGAGTTTACAAAGTCTATTTGAATAATCCAATATCAAACATTTTTACTT